AAAAACGTTTGCATTATACTCGTCACATTATATTATGTTGTTTGCATTATATTCAAATGAATTTAATCGAACTAATTTATACAAGTTCATGATGACAAAATAAATAAATATTAAAAAAAATTGTTGGGTGCTCTTTTGCAGTAAATAAAATTATCTCTAAGTTCATTGACGTCTGTAGTTAATTGAGTTTCAATATGTTTTATTTAAAAAAGAATACTTTTAACACTATGTCGTTTCATTTTATTATTGAATTTTGCTTGTCTCATCTAATTATAGTTGTAATTCCTACATTCTCTAGATTTCTTTATTTTATTTATATTTCCAATGTTCTCTACTAAGCAAAGTAACCGTCACCGCGGGCCAGACTGGTTGGTGCGCTGAAGTTGATTCTTTTAATTACATTACTTATTATAAATCTTTTGAGGTTGAAATAAGGGGCACCGATCAATTCTCCAAAACTTGTTCGATACATGCAATTCGCTTTCATCTTTCATGTCGATGCGATTGACAAAAAGTTGACGAGATTGCCTTCCAGAAATATATGTGTTCCAATTATGCGTGGAAGAATGTTTGCTTGTAACGAAAAAGAATGCTACTCTCCTCGAGCGAAATAAAAACCGTAATATCTGAATAACTTTTGATCGAACGATCAGATTTTCCCGCACTATTATGCTATATCATAATAATCATTTAAAAATAAGACATTAAATCTTCTAATTTATTTGCAGGCAGTTCGAACACCGCTCTTTTTCTTAATTAACATAATTTTTTTCGATTGACCCTCGAAATACGTAGAGCGATTATTTGGAAAAATGTGGTAATTAAATAGGTGTGTTCTTTATAGTAATTTCTTTAGTCAGCCCTTTAGAACTATTTAAGCGAATAAATTAATTTATTATACTATAATCAAGTGAAAGAAGAATTAAGAGATATGAATGTACCATTTCGCGATGTTTTGTATATCATTTGTACCTATAACTTTAGTTGTACATCTACCAGTAAATATGGTTTTATAAATTGTAACTTTGTAAAAAATTTTATTGATTTTCTTAAAATAAAAATTAATTTTTTTATCCGTTTCTTTTAATTTTTATTTCGAAGAAACTAAAATTATTTAAAAATTATCAGCTTACGTTAAACTAACCAACTTTGAACTAGTTTTTCACAGGCAATACTAATTCGATTACGTTTACATTTTTATTGTTTTAAAATGTAAAGATTTGTGCAATAACTTGACGACTGATGTAAAATGTAGCTATTTAAAAAAAAAAAAAGAAAAAAAAAAGTGAATTTAAAAGTTAATAAATCGCTATAGATGGTTAAAAAAAACTGCGTATTTATTTATTTATTTATTTATTTATCTTGAAAATTAATTTAATATTTTCTGAGAAAAGGTACACACAATTCCGCCCATTTAACATGAACTGGAATAGAACACCCGGCATTCTACACCTCTCAAAAACAAAGTATTCATTTTTCGTATTTGAAATAATCTATTAAAGCCTTTGGATGAGTTTTACTTCTTTTTCTAACCACATTGAAATTTCTTATTATGAAATATCGAAAATAAGAATGAAGAAAACTTTGAAATTAAACAGTTTTCTTGAACAAGAACGGCGCTATGGAAATTTAATGGTTACAATGAGCCAACTGTACTCGAAAAATTACTTGACTTTTCAATATGCATGTTATGATGTAATTGATTGAAAATAAGGCGATCAATCCCCCGCTTCTTCTGATATATGCATAAAAATGCATAAAAAATATAATATAATATGCATAAAAAAGAGGGGGGGGGGAGAGCATTTTAGTACTAGTGTGTAAGTGTTTATAATCGAATTAAATATGCAAATAATATTTCTTTAAATTTTCTCTTTTATTTTAGCTTTATTGTGTTGGTGCCATACGCATGTGCTAATGGTTAATTTCATAAACCCCTTCATATTTTTAAACCATGCATTCATATTTTACAAGTGCTGAATGATTTAAATTTCAGTCAATTTTGAGAAGAAAAAAAAAACTTTGTATTTGTCTGCATTTATTAAATTTAATTTTGAAATTAGCCATAGTTCCAGAATTATTATATTCATTTATTCTGAATAATCAGTAATTAAAATTAATAATAGATGTTTCTTAGAAAGAAATATTAGTGACTAAGTTTAAATAGCAAATAAAAAGTAACATCTTCAATTTATTAATAACTGAGCATCATTTCAACTAAAAAGTTTTTTACTCTTTTCAATGGCTTAGTGTGAAGTAGTGCTGCCATCTATATAAATTTTGTGAAGTTTTTCTCTCATCAATTTTGTTAGGAAAAATTGATAGGGTGATTTTCTCATTCGTAATCTTAAGAAATAAGGATAGATAAAAAACAAAATATACTCTGTTTGCGCATAATTTTACTTATATTTTTAATACAAAATTGTTTAAGGAATCACAGACAGACTAATACTAGGGGTGGACGTTTCAGGAGGGCCTTTTGCCAAAAAAATTGCGCGAATTATCTCGATAATATCATAAATTTAATTAATAATGAAATGCTTGTTTTTTGTTTCGTCTTTTAATTGATACAGCGTTAGCAACTGAACAGATCCAATCACATAATTTAGTGTGAAGGCGCAGAAACCGTAGATTTCTCGACCCGTAAACTAGATCGAAAGAGTTACGAACTGAAAATATCCGGTTATAATCTATAAAGAATACTACCCGTTGCTTAAAAACGTTCTTTAGAAGAGGGAACACTTTTAATTCATTTTCTAAAAGAGGATGCAACGCTGAATCAATTAAAATAGTTAAAAAGATTCAATAATCCAAAGCAAAAAAGAGCCGGAACTTTTTTTTCTTCGAATATCGGGGAAATGTTAAAGCGCGCAGCAATTTATTCATAATTACATAACTGTATAATTTTAACACACGTACACACATTTTGGTGAAATCACTGTAAAGTATATTAATGACATTTTTGGTAGAGAATAAGAAATAAAACACATAATTCTGATATTAAAACCAAAATATACGGTTTTTAAACCATCCATTCGGTAATTTTCCCGTTCGTATGGCAATCGTTTACCAGAAACTGTAGTTTTCAAATTATAGTTCTAATTACCACATATTTAGTAAAAAATACAAAATTGAAAAGTAAATTTAACCGAATAAATGGTTTTTATGCCGTGCTTCAAGGTATCATGATAAAGTTACCAAATTTTACCACATTTTCTAAATTTTATCAAATATTACACCTTATTTTATTGTTAATTTTTCCAAAATCATTACCAAGACTTCTTCTTAAACTACCAAACTTTTTGGTGTTCTCATAGTGCAAGAAGCCAGGTAAATTTTACCATGTTCTGGTAGTTTTGTCCATGCATTTTTCCTCAGTGTATTTGATACATAAAATAAAATGCCTGATTGGTTTTCGAAATTACGGTAATAATAATCATAGTAAATTGAATTAAATTGTTAAAAAAAGCTAAACAACTAAAATTATAACGTAAAGTTATAATGCAAGAATATTATAAAGCAGAACAGAAATCGTTTTAATGAATGAGCATTTTTAGAGAGACGAGAAATGAGACATGCTAGACAGATTGTGCTGCAACCTCCTTTTTTAAAACATATCTTTCGAATTCTTAAAAAAAAGTTAAATAAAAAAGTATGCATATTAGGAGAGGCTAGTTAATATTTAAGAGAATACAATGTTTTTTTTTTAAATCATAAGAAAAACTTGAGAAATGCAAGATAACAAATCAAATCTACTAGACTATTTATAGCTTTTCGCCTTATCTCAGTTTCTTGTATTAATCAAGAAGGTTTTGTTGTCTTAAATCTCGCTTTGTACTGAAATGATTCGAATGTTTTTTGATAACGTTATGCTTCTTAATAGCCTAATCAATAGTTTATAACTCCTAATGTGTACGTTAAATGGATTTAACTGAGATTAATTATTCCAAAAATACACTAAGCATTCACTTATCGTGTCCACCTTAGGATATCACGTTGCAACCGAGTCATAGTCGTAGATGTTGATTGAGTCATCGGTCATTTGTGACATATTCACAGCATTTTTCAACAGTGTGAGAGTGTATGGTTGTGGTTATGAGTAACAAACAAAAGCGAGAGATTTGGTGATCATGGAGCCCAATTTAACAAAGACAAATCTCATCTTTGTTCCCCAAAAAAACTCTTTACAATGTCAGTAGAATTGCTGGATAAATTATCCTGTTCCTTGCCATTGGTGTAAATCCTCAGCATTATTTGTTATTCTTGGTAAATAAAGTTGTTTAGATATGCTGTCAATTTCAGACAGACATGAGCACAAAATAATAGTCCTAAAGCATTCCTCTGGCTTTTTAACGGTATGTATTTATAGTAGCAGAAAGCAGAAACGCTTCATGGCAAATCCTGATTCATTTTCATTGGTTATAAAGAGTCTAGAAAATTGGTTACATTGGTTATATTGAGTCTAGTCTTATGTTTAGTCTAGAAAAAACTGAATTTAGGTTTCAAATGCTGAAAAAAGGTTGACTAAATATCAAATGCAAACTGGATAATTTTTGCTGAGTAATTTTCCCATCCTGTCATTATTTATTTGCATTTTGTTATTTCGATTTTTCTGCATTTGGAACTTCATAGTTTACTTAAGGTTTACCTAAACTCGCTTTTTCTATACTTCAAATTTTTAATTACTAATGAAGAGAAAAAGAATTCGCCCTTCTCCTACGTCCTCTTAAGTGTGAATTTATTGCCTATTTATTTTTTTAAAAGCGCATTCATCAATGTGTATTCTTGTTACATGAGTTAATTATAACTTCCGTCAATTACACAAACTTTTCCCTTTTTCAAAATAAATCTTAATCTAAAAGGGTAATGCAAATACGATAATGTTCTGCCAATTCTGCCGCTATCATACATATGATAAGAATGCCGCTGATTTTCAAAATAATGTTATCCCTATGAAAAATCTTCCCTATCATTTCAACAAATGCCTTTTTTCTCTCTCTCTCTCTGGTCTGCGGAAGAGATAAATGCCTTTATGCGTTATAACTTCTTATTTATGACCTCTATTTTAAATCTAGAAACCTTTTCTTCAAACTGATGTTGAAACAACTAGCCACTTAGGGAGCAGTTTTTTGAGCAAAAGGAAAAATCATCCATTTCTCCTGGAATACCTCTAATGGTCATTTTATGCAACTCTCCTTTCAAGAAAAGACACGTCTTCGATCGCCTCTTCCCTTAACCATCATTAGTTTCAGCCAGATGGAGAGGAATCGAAAAAAGATCACTCTCTCTGGAGGTGGTTTGGGGAAGAAAACGGAATAAGTCAACAGAGATTTAGAAGGTAAGTTAGGTTTCGACTATTTTTACCGTTTTTGAAGGAAATAGAATGGAAGCGTAAGCCAAAGTTTCTAGTATATTTGTTGCGATTTTTGAAATTGGAAAAATGAAGTACGGTTTTCTAAAGTCAATGCTTGCATGCTTTGTTGATGGATACGCAAAGCTCTTGGTGCCTTTAAAATGATAATAAGCCTCTCGCATTTTCTTGAACTTTAGGCTAAATCATATGCATCATTATATTAGGCTTCTTTCATTATCTTAGATTTTAAGAAAAGTTTTATTTATTATTATGTTAGGATCCGAAAAGTTAGGCTTTAGCAGTATCTTGGAGTTTAAAGCTAAATGCTATTCATCATTACAATAGGATCCAAGATGTTAGCCTCTTCAACAACCTTAGATTTTAGGCTAAATATTGCTCATCATTATATAAGGATCCAAGATGTTAGGCTCTAGTATTATTTTAGAATTTATGGTAAGTATTATTTTGTTAGGATGCAAGATTCTAGGTTAAATGTTATTCACCATCGTTTTGAGATCCATGATGTTGCGACGTCTTGGATTTTTAGGCTAAATCTTATTCATCCTTATGTTAGGATGCAAGATGATGTTTGGGTTTTGCGTGGACTTGGATTTTAGGCTATATGTTATTCATTTTTATGTTGGGTTGCTGCATCATTTCGGATTTTAGGTTAAATGCTATTCACCGTTACATTAGAACTCATATTAGTGTCTCGAATCATTTTATATTTTAAGCAAAATGATTAAGATTTCCTTAAGATCGACAATATAAAAAGAAAATTTTCGAGTGTGACATGGAACGGTAATTATTGCATGTTATACTTTACTCGATCCTTTATTAGAAATAAATAAATATTTGAATTACGTTTTAAAGTTGTATTTATTTTAAAAGTATTTATTATTGTTGTAAGTATCAAAACTTTTCTTATGCGAGCTTAATGCTTTATATTGGCGAATAAGAAACATTCGTTAAAAGGCCTGTTTTAGGCCTAAAATATTTATCTGATATTTTCAACTTAACTTGAGGTGAGATTTAAATTGCCATTCTTAAATTTATAGAATAGGAAGGGGTCGATGGGGGAATGAACTCTGTAAAATATTGTTTCTCGCGCTGTTTTTTTATGATGAATCGATTCGATAGGATTAATATCCCAAAAATTATAATTTTTTTATGTATTAAAAGTTCAGTTTTACATTTATAACTATTACCACATTTAAGATTTATATAGAGAGAAGAGAGACATTTATTCCTAAATATATCGAAATAAAATTCTAAAAAAAATCAAAATTAAGTCATAGATCTAGTATTTTTGGAGATATAAACGCTTTTTATGGGTCACAGGATATAGGCTAAAAATTATGTTTCTCATATAAAAAGGCCTCATATAGTGAACCACAAAAGTTTCAGCCCACATGTAATCCAGATTTTCAGATTCGAAGAAAAATAAAAGGAATTTGTAAAAAAATAAAATTAAAATAAATAGAATTCAAGCTTTACTTGTAATAAAAGTTTGAACAGACGAGTAAATAAAGGGTACTTTCAAATTTCAGTCATAATGCCAAGGTCAAAACAATTCGCACAGAAAGAAGTTTCGGGAATTTGGAAGCTAAAATTTAAAAACAAGTCTAAGATATTAAAATTTAAATGAATATTTCAAAGTAGAGTTTGAACTTTTTATTTAAGAATATGCAGAGTTTTAATCCGTGGTAAGAATTATAAACCACATTGACGATCTAAAAATCCGCGAAAGACGACTTTGGGAGCATATAAAAAAATTCCAAATTCAGCTTGAAACCAAAATTGTCATAAAAATTCAAATGGGTCATATTGTTTCAAGAGGCCTCATTCGTAAACACATTCACCAAACTGGATACATGAAAAGGTTCTAAATGGTCCGAATTCTTTTACTTTTAAACTGCATCATAATTAAGCGAGACTAAATTGATGCCGTAAGTGCTTCATGCGAAAAAGAATGAATTAATTTGTTGTCCAGTAAAGCATGCTGTAACAGCCCGTTGTGAGGCAAGAGAAGGTCATGGAGGTTAAATCTCCATAATTTCGTGACCAACGGCCTGATTGTAGCAATGTAGTCAGCATTGCACACAAGCCACCTTTATTTCCCATACAAACTGGTATCCATTTATATGACGCTAGGTGAGCTTCAAGCCGCCACTGGGGATCGAACCCAGAACCTAATGACAGCTCAGTGTCTTAACCACTGAGCCATCACGGCTCTGTTCGACGAATTTGCTGCTCAGCTACGAAAAAATAAATTGAAATTTACGCGTCTAGACGACAATAGTAATTAATGGCATGATCTAAGAAAGTGTCGAAATATTCGAAGACGGCAAGGTAGACCTTTGCTTAGGGTACGGGGTTCCTTTGTATACAATGGACAGACCAGTTTAGCCTTTTTGAGTGGTTTTTCAGGAACTACGAAGCCATTTACTACCTTTAAAAGTTGTATTAGATGAGGCTGAGTAGTTTTTTCAACAAGATAATGCCAGCGTACATGAATCTACTTCTAAAAGATAATGGTTTAGAGCTAAAAATGTAGCAGTTTTATCTGGCGCTATATACCCATGGAAAATATTTACGGATATTGTTTTTCAAGTCGTAATTGGTAATGGAAAGCATCACGAGTGCTGGAATCCGAAAAAGCCATTAAAATAGATGGTTCGAAATCCATACAAAAAGCAAGCGAAATCTGGTACTTCCAATGAGAAACTTGCTGTTTCACTTAATTAAAAAAGAATTAAAACGCTAATTAACAAAATTTTGTGTTTTTTTCCCCCTTGAATAAATATCGCTATTTGTGCCTAAACTTGTGTGCAGTTAAAATTAGTGAAAATGTGAATACTTTTTTTTTCTGTTTTAATTTTTTAGTAATTGTATTCTTGTTCTGTGGTATAGTTTTTCTGTCAATTAATTGCGTCCAGCTATTGAAAAAAATATGCATTATTTTAGAAATAATACAATAATTTTAAGCTTGTCTAAAATTTTTGGTGCACTTTTCTAAATTATCAGCCCTATCAACTTGATTTTGATCTGATTTAAGTTAGCACCAGTGTGTAAAATGCAACAATTTAATCATCCAAATAAAAATGTCTGAACGTCTAAATTTCAACTAAACTTGCCTCAAAGGTGGGGAAAATTTAAAATATTCACTTTAAGTCAGTTACTCAGGAAAAGACCAAGAAGTTTAGGGCAGCACTGTATAAAACTTGAATAAGTTTCTGATAATTTGTGAATTGATATTATGTTTGCTATACTTAAGGCTTCTTTTTCAGCAAATTTCACACTAGTAGTTTAGTTTTGCGAAAACATTTAAGGACGCAAAATGTTGTGCAGAATTTTAGTTTCGCAAATTTGGTCGCTTTTACGGTCACAGTTATGTTTTGCATTTTTAGGAATTTTTTGTAGTATGTATTGAATGAAATATTTATCTTTATAATAAGTGTTTAGTAAAAGTAAGTTTTAATGGTAAAAAATAAAAAAGTTTTATTTATAGAATTTTAAATAAGCTAGGTTAACATTTATCATAAAATGTATTATGTGTACATATTTCGACGACGTGGTTTTCTTTAGTTTTGCCTTTCGAAACATTAAGGGAAGAAAAAAAAAAACACCCACTTAATAGTTTTGCATAAGAAACATTTCCTAAAAAAATCAAAAATACCAAATATCTAGCTATATACGATTTTTTTTAAAAAAACTTGCTCTTTACAAATAATTAATTTAAAATAGAAACAATAAATAATTTTAAACTTAAAAAATTTTTTAAAACAATATATCAGTTTATAAGGAGAATTATTCTTCACCAAAAGAAAAATGAACTAGAAACACCAAATGTACAAAATTAATACTAAAACACAATTTATTTCAACACACAATTTTTTTTCTTTAATCCATGATAATAATTGTTAACTACCAAAACTCACTAATTCCATATCGTCGTGAAAGCTATTAAATTTTAAAAAAATACCTTTTATTTTAACAAATCAAAATGAATCCACAATAAAAATTATAACTGTCGGATTTTACCGATTGATAATGAACAGAAATTATATATTCATTAGAAATGATAACCATTATTAACAACTATTATTCACAAAGAGTGCACATTTAATAATTCAAACATATTTTAACAAAGAAAGTTCCTAATAAACGAAAATATAAATTAGGGATCATAAACAAATGATGGCGCGCGGATGGAGTTGATAAATTATATAAGAGTTTGTGATAAGAGGGGGGGGGGGTGAAAATGTGTGGCAACGCAGATTTTAATTAAAATAAAACACTTAAAATCATGAGATTAAATATTTTTATTATTTTGTTTTTATATTCTTTTTCATCTAAATAAGTACATATGCAAGCATTATTATAGTTATGATCACAAAAGTCATTAAAGCACACAGTCAAAAGTTTTAAAAAATGAATAGGATCCATAACAAATATTGTGGTGGAGAAGAGGTGAAGTGTGACTAAAATGTAAAAATAAAAAAAATTGTCACATCATTTATGAAGTGGCTCCTTATTTATAAACTACCGAAACGCAAACACTTTACAGATATTTTTAAAAAATGATGCACAAACTAAATAATACCTTTTACCTTAATGTACTGAAATTTCTAATAATTCATAATGCTAATTATTAACTGTCTAATTTTATTTTTTAAAATCAATAAAACTTTAAAGTCAAATTATTTTAACCCAACCCAAACATCCTCCTATAACTTACCCGCTTTATCGAAAGAAACTAACTAACTTAAAGTAGCATATAAATTACAATTTAAAATACTTTTCTTTTAGTAAAAAAAGTTTTTAATGGAAAGTGTTAATTAACTACCATGGAAATATAATGATAACATTGAAAATGAAACTATAATTTTAAGGGCGACCATTATTTTTATTTTGATACATAAATTACCCAATTACGTAAAAAGTAGTTATTATTTACCAGGAGAATTTAATTAATTATAGGT